AAAAAAAAAAAAAAAAAAAAAAAAAAAAAAAAAAAAAAAAAAAGGGACCAGATGGATGACACTGTGAAGCCTGTTATTAAGTACAAAGTGGACAAAATTCAGGATTTTTTTTTTTTACAGCTGTTTAAGAACATATATTTAACCTCTGGTTTCTCTGGAAATAAAAAAAAAAAAAAAACAAAAACCACCAAATACAGATATTCTCTGCGATCCAACTACAGCTGTGGCAAATGTCTTCACCTGACAAAATTTTACGCAGAATTCTCTATCACCAGTACCTATGTGAATATTTAAAATACTATGGAATGTATACGTAGAAATACAGAAAACTAAATATAAATTAAATATAGCCAGTGGTAATAAAGAAAGATTTCTTTTTCCTTTAAGATGGATAATCACCCTTCCGTTATTTTGACAGTGAGTTGATGATAACGAGGGAAACAGCGATCCTTTATCAAACTCACTCTCCCTGTTCTTACTTTCATTGCAATAAATAGGAAATAACTGATGGAAGCAGTTAATTTAGAAAACGTCCTGAAATCCAGTCAGTCCTTGGGGAGTTATGGAACTTCACAAATGCAGTTTTATAAACAGAAAGAACCTTTATGTTGCTGTGCAGCGAATGGTGTTCACTGCCTCCCCAGAGCACTGCACTTACAAAGGACTAACAGCAGGCTGTGTGTATAAATTAAACAAAACCTCAGAAAACGTTAAGCAAACCCTAAGTGTGTTTCATTTTGGTTGTTTTTTATTTAGTTTTTGGATGTTGTGCAGCTGGTTCAGCGCAAGTCCTGGAAGGTGGGGGATATTTTCCACGCCGTGGTGCAGTACTGCAAGCTCAGCGAGGAGGGCAGGGAGATGACACCCAGCCTGTTTGATTGGCTTCTGGAGCTGGGTTAAGAAAGTTCACCCGTCCAGCATTTCTGTTTTACTCCAGTTGAAACAAGCAGTGGTTTGTGTAACGCTCTGATTTCTGAACATCACCGAGTCCAACGTGCAAAGATACACCAACTCTACAAACACAGCACAAACACGCCTGTTCCACCACTGACCAAGGAGCAAAGTGAAACCAAGGTGTTGTTGTGTCTTTCTGTGTCGTGAGGGACTTCTGGCATTGCGCTACGGGATGTACTGTACTAGGAGGGGATGGATTTTTAGCCTTCTGGGTTAATGGGCTACACAGTAAAGGCTTAATTACCTGATATGTTCAATTCTCATCAAATTGATTAAATCAATCAGCTAAAATGTACACTAATGTTCAGTTTTGAAACAACACTGATATTTGTACAGTTTAACTATTAGAACCAGAGTGTGTTTCAGGATGCCTGGAAACACCCTTGTCTCTAGATAACTAATATTTATGTTGGTTTGGTTTTTTTTTTTTTAAATCTCCATAGTCTGCTAGGGGACAAAGGCTTTTGAACACCTAACACCTTTGCAGTTAGATAACACAGCAAAAAGCTGCTGAAAACACATTTTAGTTTGTTTGTTTGTTTGTTTTCCACCTGATTGTTTCTCTTCCACAGCTATTCCCGATTCCCATAATCTTCCCAAAGAAACAAAGTCGAGTCTCTCAGTTGCTATCCTTAAAAAAATCTCACCCCTTTTCCCTGGAAGCAGTGCAGTTCAGTAGACCCTGTCCTGCCACAGATCCGCTGCGTGACCTTGGGCGACTCATTTCACCTCTGTGCCTCAGTGTCCCTGCCTGGTAAAAGGGAATAACCACAGTACAGCTGTTACCTAAAGTGCTTCTGTTTAAAGCACTGGGTAACATTCTACATATCAGCTAAAAGCAGTGAAAAAAAAATACTATTTTGATTGTAGTGTAATCAAATACGTTGTTAATGAGGCGAAGAAATGCACATCTCATCCTGGAAATCTTACTGTTAATTTTTTTTTTTTTTTTTTTAACTTACAAGAAAGCAGAATGTTTGTAAAAATTCCAGCAGACATGCGTGTTCATTTTGGATATAAGTGTATGGACTACATGTGATAGTTCACGTTACTATGACATTTATATAACTGTTTGATAAGATGTGCTATGGTATTGTCTTGTTGAGATGATCTGTTGGTATCATGCACTTGATACATTCTCTCGACTCTGCCAAAGAGGTTGGTTTTGAATTTAAAGGTAAAAATAACTTACGACACCACAGCTCTTCTGCAGTTTGTTTCTTTGAAAATACTTATCGTTCATCCCTCCTACCCAAACAGCATAATAGAAGACCTGCCTGCTTTTCCCCAAAAAAAATATATTTAGAAGAAGTTTTATTTTCCGTATAACAGTATCTGCTTCTGTAATATTTCCTGAGAAAGAAAACCTATCCTTTTGCACTAAATATTTTTGGAAAGTTTGAAGTAGTTTTAAATAATTTATGAAAAAGAGCCATATTCTCGATTTTATCTTTAAAACCATTCCTAAACTTGCATGACTTGCATCACTTCTTTGTTACAAAATACAAATTGTTGGTGAATCAAAATCGAACGTGAGTAATTCTCCATCTACTCTGCAGCATAAACAGAACAGTGGAGGTTGCTTTACTGCCTGTAAAGGTCAGCTTATTGCAAACACTGGACACAACTGTGCAGTCACTGGACCAGCTCCCAGGAATTGCTGAACATCCCTAACTCCCACTAACGTGAGTGGCAACTCTGAATGTTCAGCACTTCTGAGGCTGAAAGCTAAAGAAAAGCACCGAGAATCATAAAGTGCTTTGTTCGAGTCAGTAAATGGGAAAACGTATTTATTTTTAAACCAAATACAGTTAGTTGTCAGTAAAATTTTCTGCTGTGATAGAATAAATGTTTACTTATCCTACAAAGCACAAAATATCATGACAGTTGTAACAGTGTGATGCAGTTTCTCTGTACAGTAGTTCTTAATGTTGCAATTTATTCAGAAATAAATTTATGTTATAATGTGTGTCCTCTTTGCCTTCCTAGAAAGTTCATGAGTGGGCTTTTCAGTTGGGTTCATGGATGGATTTTTTTTTTTTTGCCTTTTAAATAATGTTTGCCTCCCCTCCCTGGAGCTTCTCAAAGTTCTGCTTCTGAAGGAATGATGTGACCCATGGCCCTGACCAAAACAAATCAGAGCAAGGGCCAGGTCTTATCTCAGTACCAAAGCTACATCATCACCCAGGTTCCACAGTTAATACAAGAGATAAAAGGCTAATCATGACATTCTTAGTATCACAGTAAAATAAAGAGAAATGACACATTAGTTGCTGAGAATTAAGCCCAGAATAACTTCCAATGTACAAATCTCTATCAGTGCTCGCTCTACCTGCTTTCAGTACCTGCAAAAGTGGGCAGGAGGGTGGGGAGACAGAAGCTCAGGAGTTTCCTCTACTTGTGTAAGTTTGCAGAGGTATTTCCTGCCTTATTGCTGAGATGCAAGGGCATTTCTACCTGCTAAACAGAAAAGGAAACCACCACTTAGCTGAGTAAATCGGAACTGAGCTTGTCCACCATTAATTTTTTAATCTTTTTTTTTTAAAGTGAATGTTACCTACACATAAATGAGAACAGTATACTACATAAAATCTTAGCTAAAAATCTCTCTGTATTCATGAGCATGGTGGAGACGGTTGGGATCACGAGGGGGTGTTTGTTCACTATCCCAATGAAAACTAAAGACGTGACAAGTGAAGTTCATATGAGCCAGATTCAAGGCAAACCAAAAGAGATGAACAGGTTATCAGACGAGAGGATGGAAGACTCGCACACAGGATCAAGTGGGAGCTGGAGAAGTACTTGAAAGAAATGTTTCAGGAGATGCCCTGGCCATGGGAGTAGCAGATAGAGCTGCAGGGCTGCCCTTCCCAAGGGTGGCTGCAGGGCAAGGTGCCTTCCACCCCACGTTTGACTTTACCACCCAAATAACTGAGAGAAGAATTTGGCTGGTAGATCTGGTTATTTTTCAAAAGGTAATTCTACTGTATTTGAACTAAGTACTTTAAAAACTTCAGTTTTGTTTTGTTTGGGGTTCTTTTAATGTTGTCATTAGTAGAATGCCTCAGTATTGTCATACCTCAGAAGGTTTCCATAGTGTCTTCAAGTAAATTAACTCTTTTCTCCTGATCTATAATAAATACAGTAACCTGTTAAATTCAGCAGGTACCTTTTCTGAGGAGGCCAGTTTTACTATGACAGACAAGCATGGGAATGTCACCAAGAATCCTGAATTCTAAATTTTAAAATGCCAGGGAGGGAAAAGAGCACCACTCCATTGAAATAAAGAGCCCACATGACCTACTTAAATAAAACAAATTCCAGCTGAGAAGGA